CAGGTCTATGTGTAGAGGGAATTGTGGGATATTGAGTCCTCCTGTCCCCTCTGGCCTCCATCACACTGCATTGCACCAGCCCAGTGCCTTCCCCAATAACGAGCAAGTATTTATAGAGCAGAACAAGAGAATCGGTTTAAAGTCACGCTCTCCTCGTTCTCCTCTCTCGGGTCTTTCCAAGGACTCTACTCTCATTATTTGCATTCTTTTGCGAACTACTTTAATGTGAGGAATTTTTTTTCCTGAAAAAATTTAAATAGCAACTAGTGCTGGAAAAAATGTGACACTACAGCAGTCAACAGCAGCTATTTCATAATGGTTGCCATGCATTTTTAGTATCCTTTCATGTTTACCATTAGATTATACTTACAGGGCCATAAAAAAGTATTCGCCTCTTCTCAGTTTCTTCTGTTTTTTGCATATTTGTCACATTTGAATGTTTCTGATCATCAAGCTACTTTTATATTAGATAAAGATTAAGTAAAGTAAACATTACATGATGTTTAAATAAAGGAAAAATGCTGCTCAGCCCTATCTAACCCTATGTGAAAAAGTTATTAGCTCCTTAGCTACTAAATCAAATTCAACTGATTACTAGGTTCAATTTCACACCCAGGCATGATTACTGCCAGACCTGTTGAATCTAAACATCACTTAAGTAGAACCTGTCTGGCAATGTGAAGCAGGCTAGAAGGTCTCAAAAAGCAACACATGGTGTCACGTTCTAAAGAGATTCAAATACAGATGCGAAACAAAGTCATTGAAATCTACCAGTTTGGAAAGGGTTACAAAGCCACTGTATTGGGACTCTAGCAAACCACAGTGAGAGCCATTATCCACAAATGGAGAAAACTTGTAACAGTCGTAAACCTTCCCAGGAGTGGTCGGCCTACCAAAATTTCACCACGAGTGCATTGACGACTCATCGAAGAGGTAAAAAAAGAACACAGACGACCATCCAAAGAACTGCAGGCCTCACTTGTCTCAGTAAAGGTCAATGTACACAATTCTGCAATAAGAAAGATACTGGGCAAAAATGGCATCCATGGAAGAGTTAAAAGGCGCAATCAACTGCTGACCAATAAAAACACAAAGATTTTTTTGCATTTGCCCCAAAAAATGTATATAACCCCCAAGACTTTTGGGGTGATATTCTGTGGACAGATGAGTCAAAGGTGGAACTTTTTGGAAGAAATGTGTCTTGTTACATCTGGCATAAAGCTAACACCGCATTCCACTATAAGAACATCATATTAACAGTCAAACATGGTGATGGTCATGTGATCGCCTGGGGCTGCTTTGCAGGTTTGGGAAGACTTGTCATAAATGAAGGAACCATGAATTCTGCTCTCTCATCAGAATTCTAGTAGATACAGATGTCTAAACACATCTAGGTATTCTTTTTTTACTTAAAGGGGAACTCAAAATTTCTACACAATTAAACGGCTCAGATGTAAACAAAGTCACTCACAGAGTGATTTGTTGTGAAATGCTCCGTTCTAGACAAGCTTCCTGAACCAGAATTGTTCACAGTGGTGGTGATAGGAATCAAACGTCTTAAGTGTTTAATGCCTCTAAAAGCTCTTATTATGCAAAATGGTTATGGGATATTGTTTTATAATAGTTTTTTCATAAAGTTTTGGCCTAAAATGTATGCAGCAGGACAATGAGCCGAAGCACATGAGCAAGCCCACCTCTAAATGGCTCAAAAGAAACAAAATTAAGACTTTGGAGCGGCCAAATCAAAGTTCTGAGATTCTGTGGCAAGACCTCTAATGGACAGTTAATGCTTAAAACCCTGCAATGTAGGCAAATTAAAACAATTCTGCAAAGAAGAATGGGCCAAAATTCCCCCACAGCGATGTAAAAGACTCATCACAAGTTATCGCAAATGTATGATTGTAGCTGTAACTGCCAAGGGTGGCACAACCAGTTATTAGATTTAGGGGGCAATTACTTTTTCACACGGGTGATACAGGATTTGAATAAGTCTTTATCTTGAATTAATGGAATGATCCTTTAAAAGCTGCATTTTGTGTTTACTCAAGTTGTCTTTATCTCATATTAAAATCAGTTAGGTGATCTGAAACAGAAAAAGTAAAAAGTAAGCAAAAGTAGCAGAAATCGGGTGGGGGTCAATTCTCCATGCTTCTTCACAGCACTGTAAGTTCAGCGTGTGACACTAGCTGTATAAATACGAGATCATAGTGTCAAGCGCTTAAAATTGAAGGAATGTGAAAAGAAATGAGAAGCTGCAAATCTGCCAATACACAGGCATGTTACACCTTACAGTTGTTGTGGTTGTGCATGCTTATACATGATCATACTGTGGTAATTTCTCTCTCCACACATACACACACAAACAAAAGACGTGAAGCAGCACTGGTGCCAATGAATGATTGATGTTGCCGCTGTTGTAGGAGCGTGCAGTGGGCCCGATAGCATAAACAGACATTTTGCAGTCGCACGCCACAGCAGATGTAAGCCGAGCCACGAGAAACAAAAACCCAAGCGCCACCAGCATTTAGCAACAGCCCAGCAGAGAGGAAGAGCATGCGCGGTAGACGACTGTGCTTAAAGCTAGCACGCTATGTTAATTAAAATGAGTGGGAAACGTGGCACAGATGCGAATGTAGGCAGTGTGGTTGGATAATGGCCCAGCATTCTGAACCAGACTGATTGGTCTAGAAGCAGGTTAAGTGCTTCTAGAAGCAAGTTAACCACAGAACAGGAAACCAAATACAGATATAGGATGTCCCAACAACGGAGTAAACACTCAGACCAGAGCCTACAACTTCCTAAAGAGATAAAACCTTTAACCCCTTAAACTGCACGCTTATTAGTCAGCTACTCATCTTAGGATTTATTCTTTTCCAAATTATTTGGTAACTACAATAAAACTAATATGTAAGTTATATTGTTATGAGAGTGAGTAATCAAACTGTGGGCTAAAATACAGGCCCTTGCAGTTTCAGGGGTTGATAAAGGAGGGTGAAGAAACTGAGAAGGCCATGGGGAGGGCTGTGCTCTTCTGAAGGACGACGAGAAAGAAATAGGTTAAAAAGGGATTTTTAGTAAACGGGAATGTGTGACTCCAGGTCCATTCCGTCGCCCTGGGGAAATCATGTCCTAGTTTTCCATCCGTCCTGTCCAAGTACTCTTAAGCCCTTGTGGCAAAAACTAGTCAGACACATGTTGACTCTTGTTAGATGTCTATAAAGAATGGCATGACACCACCATCAAGTCTAAAATGCAAAAACGCAGCAGTTTCATGTTGCTTTTTTTTTCAGAATGGTCAGCAGTTCATTAGTCAAGTTTTTAATTAGTGCAAAATTACATTGCCAGCAGTGTAATATGTTTCTATATATGGGTGCTTCTGTAACTGTAGGCAATTTTAGGTCTTGAAATTTTTTTTTATATGTGCTTACTTTTTATTGTGAAGCATAGAAAATTACATTCACATTCAAAAGTATCACTCAATGTAATAAGCTGCTATAGTATAGGCCTATGAAACAGTATCAGTATTATTTATATACCACGTTATTTTAATCTTCAAATGCATTAGAAGACGCTACTGAATTAAATAAATAAATATGATCAGTTATTTATGTCTACCTAAAATATTTTTTTCAAAGCCAAACAAACCTACTTTCAGTGTAAACATAAGTTGGCCTAAGAGCACACAGACAAAAGTGTGGGAAAGATAAATTCACAGAAAAGCAAAATATATATCATCTTTTCACATTCAAAATCTGCATGTCCTTACTGCACGGCTTATAGCTAATGTATTTTGAATTCTTCCTTGAGAACAATTTCCTACTCCTATTCAAAGCCAGTAGAAGAGGCCACTCTATTTGCCATTTATACTCAAAACAGTGAAAACGTGATGACTGCAGGATTCTTTACACAACAGCTTAGAGTGTCACAGTGAATACTGTGATAATGTAAAGACAAATTCAATTCAGAATAAAATTTCCAAAATCATACGCAAGTTTGTACAGCTCATTATTTGTATTACAGACTCTGATTAGTGACGCACACTGATATCAGAATCATACCGGTATCGGCAGATATTTGCTTAAAGGAATATCAGCATCGTACTGATGTTTAAATGTGACTGATATTTCAAACCAGTATTTGATGTCATATTGTACACTTAAAAAGAATGTTTAGGTGATGCTGGGCTGCTTTTAAAACAGCTGCATTTTATTTGCTTCACTGCATTTGTAACCCTACACAAGCAAATGTTCTCTGTAATGATTAACCTAATCGCAATATTTCATAAATGTTTATGCATCTGCATCAGCAGATATGTACATAAAAATAATGAATATTGGCCCACAACTCCCATATGGGTGCTTCCCTAACTCTGATTCTTTAAATGAATTTTTGTTGAGGTCCATTTTCCAAACATTCTGAAAGCCAAAAAAGACAAAAGAGGCAGAAAATTCCATCTGCATTTTCTTTATAAGCACCTAATACAGGGTGTACATAGACCAGCGGCTCTTTTTACATATGATCCTCTGAGGCCTTGAAGACCAATGCCCTTCCTCTGTGCATGTGTAGGAGTACCTACTGAGGATCAGTAAGTAAAGCACTATTGTCTCTGACGATACATGGTACGTGTAATTTGCATTTTAGTTTGATGATAACAGCGTGTCAGTGCATTTGTGCCTGTGTGAACACAGCAAGCCCCACTGGAATGTGTACGTGTGTGTGTGAGACCAAGAAAGACTAAATGAAATTCAGACAGGGGCAGGAAAGGCTACAAACTGTAATCTAGGGATTTCCTGTAGTGGAAAAAGCGTGGAGCCCTCAGAACCTGCATCATATGTCCAAGACGTTATCTGATAAAGTCGTTATCTGAGCAGAACAGATAGTTTTACCATTTGTTTAAGCTCTTTTAGTCTAGAGAGCAGAGAATGTTTAACAGAGAGCTCCAGCCATAGTGAGCAGACATAGGTGTAGGTGTAGAGATGCTGATTACTCTGAGCACTTACGGAATGGCAATCTCAAAGACATTGTTCTGAATGAGCTGCTTTCCCAACATGATGATGCTGAGCTGAATACATAGCTCAATGAGACAGCCTCCAGGAGCACACTGAGAGCAACAGTGAGAGAGAAAGAGACAGAGAGAGACAGAGAGATAGAGAGAAGCGAATGAGCAGAATCTGATTAGTGTTCTAGGAGTAAAACACCATTGTTAACAGAAGCATTAAAGAGAATGACAGGCAACACAAAATCGCACAACACACAAACCCACAAATTCCAAACACACCCACAAACAGATCCAAATTCACCTCTTCCATACGGTAATCATTGAAAATATAAACGTAGTCCCCAGGCCGGCCAGCAAACCTGTTGATAGGAGAAAGATAAAGCTGAAGGTCATGGCCAGGTAAAGAACTACTTTCTGTCTCTACCAGCATCTGCAAACAACAAGCCACATGTTTGCTTTATTTTAGGTTTAAGTTTGCTCTCAGTATCTCCTCCAGAGGGTTGCGGTGACAAAAGGCTTTCTCTTGCCTATCCTTTGTACACCTCAGTCTGTTCTCTCTCTCTCATCAGAATTCTAGTAGATACAGATGTCTAAACACATCTAGGTATTCTTTTTTACTTAAAGGGGAACTCAATTAAACACAATTAAATGGCTCAGATGTAAACAAAGTCACTCACAGAGTGATTTGTTGTGAAATGTTCCGTTCTAGACAAATTTCCTGAACCAGAATTGTTCACAGTGGTGGTGATAGGAATCAAACGTCTTTGTGTTTAATGCCTCTAAAAGCTCTTATTATGCAAAATGGTTATGGGATATTGTTTTATAATAGTTTTTTGATAAAGTTTTGGCCTAAAATGTCTTGTTAATCCATTTATTTTAATCCATTCCTGTTGGAGGGGCACAAGCAGGACAATGTAAGGCAAAAAAGTCCCCAAAGAAAACATTTTCTTTTCAGATTTTCCATTATTTTACAATTACAAGCATTACATTAAAAAAATTAGAAGACTTGTATAGGCTCACTGGTGGTTTTCAATAGTAAATAAAACAACTATATTTGCATTGTGGTCATGGTGACCCCTGGTTCACCTCACCACCACTGTAAAGAAATCAGACTCTCTAACTTTCTCTACAACAGACCAATTCATATCAAACATCTCTGAATAACTTTGTTGACATTTTGTTGATGGAATTATGCAAAATAGGTGAAAAATATTTAGGTTTTAATCTCAATGCTGTCTAATTTTCCTTTTTCAGCAGGGGTGTATTAAAATAAAGCCTAGCCCATGCAGGGGAAACACTGCATCCCTGTTTCTCTCTCTCTCTCTCCATTCCTAAACCCTGCCTCTGAGCATACCAGCATTACCCTTTTTCTTATCACCATCCTTAGCTGTAAGTGAGCATACTCTAGCTTTGAGGGTTGTCTTGATTACCTACCTGCCTTTGAAGAAGGCCACATAAAAAATGGGAGCATAAGCATTCATGAACTTCAAGAGGAAGGCTTTCAGAATCAGACGCTCCTCAAAGTTAGTCTCTGTCTTCGGGATCTCTGTGGATACATGAGAGCAGATGCGTTGAAGCCACGGAAAACAATTCCCATGCTACTACTTAAACATCCAAAGTTCATCAACTCATCTTTATTGATGCATATATGTATCATATGAGTCAACATAGGCTATGTTCTGTGGAACGTCCTCTTTTCAAACTCTCACTCTACTCTCCAGTATAATCTTTGGGTATAATTCAGCTTTACAGCAGACCTGGTGGTTGGCTTAGGCCAAAGCGCATAGTATAAGTTGTATTGCGATTATATGTTTTGAGGCTTCCTCTACTAAATCTTCATTTTACAATACAGATTAGTGTCTGGGCCCCAGTGACGTTGGGACGATAAAGCCATAATGCCAGCACCCTGAAGGCACACAAGAGAAAGTACTCCAAGCCTGTAATTAAAAGATTTGTGAAAGGAAGGCATCTAAAGCACATCAAACAAACACAGACTATGTAGTAAACTGGAGCAATCTGTCAGTCTGGAGGTCTGACGGACCATAATCAGACCCAGCTAAGTGCATTTGGAAGTAGGTTAAAACGTGGAGTGATGCCACACTTTCACTGTATGTGGTCAGAGTGGGGGAGGGCCTATGCCTTATTCAGTAGGCAGTAAAAAGTGTCTCCCCTCTCCTCTCTCCCTCCACCTTCTTCTGGCTGAGGAGCCACTCATTTCCCAAGCTTTACTGGACGGGCAGAGATGAGTTCAATCAAACTTTCATGACCACAGTTATACAGAGCTATGGGGTACCAGCAAATATCTGAAGCAGAAAGACAAGAAAATGAAGAGCGCCAGGACTTGACAACTCATGCACAGACAAAGGGTAATGCTTTGTTTTGATGATCCACTGTAGATGCTTTGAAAATACTCACTCTGTCTTTAACTTTCATTCAATTAAATATGTTATGTTCAGTTACACTTTATATTATAATATACTTTATATTAATTTATACTCAATTTGAATCTAACCTTAACCTCAACCCAAAACTTAAACTTAACCCCAGTCCTAATCCTAATCTTAACCCTATTGATAATCAACTGAATTTCACCAGATAGTGTGATAGTCTCTCTACACATGCACTCGGCCTCTCTCCTTCGTTTCTCTCTCTCAAGTGAAGTTAGCTGCATTTGGAATACCTCTAATCTATGGATGATGTTGAGCTGGTGGAACAGTCACAGCAGATCTTTCCCTTTTTATGTTTTAAGCACTTCTGCAGTATCAGCAGTAGCAAGAGGAACTTAAGCGCAACAGGACTACCATTAACAGTCGATCAGAGGAGGATGGATGGTGTTCTCTGCCAGGTACGATTTACAATTCCAAAAATATACTGCTAATAAACACTGCTAGTTTATTAAAGATGTGTAAAATGCCAGTTAATCTCAGCATATTTTCTCTCTGTTCAACTCAAGTGTTAAGTAACAAAGCACAGCACTGTAAAACCACAAACCAGCTCTGTTAGGGAGCGTAAGCAGGTTTGGGTTTCAAATTTAGAAGCACCATTTGGGCCGAGTTGGGTCTTGTGGATGGGTATGGATGGGGTTCAGTTGTTAATTTCATACCATACAGTCCTCAGACATGCATCGTAGTCTAAATGTATATAACAGCAGACAGTATAGTGTAAATCTCACCCAGTTCAGTGAGCCAGACAGCCACAGAGCCATAGATCTCGTCCAGGATGAGAATGACGACTAGGTTGATGATGACGGCTGTAGCTGTGACAGTGACCCTTGCGTTGGACTTGATTTGAGGGTCTTGGCTCATGGCCAGCAGGGCAGAGACAGTGATGCGGTACATAATCACTCCGAACACAGCGGCGAAGGTCACACCAAACTAGAGAGCAAGGAGAGGGGTAGAAGGCAAAAAAAAAACAAGACGGTAAAAAAGAAAGAGACAGAATGAACAGGAGAGTGAAGACTATATATATATATATATATATATATATATATATATATATATATATATATATATATATATATACACATATACACACATATAAACATATAAAACAATGACTTTGTTAACATGGTCTAAATTCAGTAGTTACTTATACAAGCAGCACAGCTCACCATTAGTAGAATAGAGGAGATATTGATGAAATATCCAGGCAACCGGTCCCTCCACGTAAGCTTCTCATCTCCAGGCTGTGGGGAGAGAGGAAGAGAGAGAGAAAGAGAGAGAGAAGAGAGCAAGAAGGTTTGAGTAATACTTTGACACAGGAATGTAAACCGTATGATAGTGGATGGTGACTAATGAAACTGTGTTTGCTGCTTAGCAAGAGCATTTCTGTGGATCTGTGCGTTGTGGCTGAGCATGTGTATGTTTCCTGTATGTCTTTGTTGAGACAGTTCTGTCATTCCTCCTCAGGGATTACCTGAGTAGAAGTAACTCGGAGTGCCAATAATGGACTACAATGTTAGACCAATACTGTCCTAAAAACTTCAAAACTATCAGCCATCACTAATAAAACATCCTTTAACTAGCTTCCCTTTTCTAACCTTGTCTTTTGGATCTAAACTAAAGCAAACAAGCCAACAACAACAGATCCTGCTGCATTGGTCTCATGCACCACAATAAGCCAACAGAATTAAGAATACAGAAGAAGCAAAATGAGCGCATGGGGAGAGGCTCAGGCATTCACCACACATCCTTAAGTTTACAGCCTGCTGCCATCACTCAAGTTCAATTAGCAGGCCACAGGAATGTGCTCTTGTAAGAGTAGACTGTGGTCGAATCTATGAAAACGTTGCTTTTTTTACAACTGAATAAAGCTGTAATCAGCTCAAGTGGTGAGACACAAACAGTAAAACTGTCTGTAGAAAACAAATACAAAAAAAGTAGGAAGACAGTTTCATTAACATTTAATGGCACATACCCAATACAGCAGGTAGAGGATTCTGGAAGTTCAAATCTCACTTCTGCATCCAAGCGCTGTCTCAGCCTCTCACTGCTCTAATTGGGCTCATTAGGAGAGCAACAGCACCACCTAGCCTGCAGAAGTACTCACCATGACTAAACCACAGCCCAGGAACCAGGAGAGCCAAGGCAGCTTAACAATGTTGGCTACACTTGAGCAGGCCTCTCACGATGTCACAGCTTTGAGGAATTGTAAAATAATGAATGCAGGTCATGCAAGACAATTAATCACAACCCACGCGATGAGCCCCAGTGGACCCGTGCTCTCAGCCGCCAGCCACGGGATATGCTCTGCGGCGAGGAAGACAAGGGAGTGAGGCAGACAAGCTGGGCTTCCTCCTTAAGGTTCCAGAGCATAAACTGTTAGGAACTGTTTCAGGATCGGGGAGAATCGGTGATACCAGCTACACTGCACGCATTTGATGATACCATGGACCATGGAACAGATCTTGAAGTTCTCGTAGCAGAAACCGAATCTAGAGGCCTTTATTCAAACCATAATTATACTACTATGTTAGAGTTGATCAAAAAAACCTTTGTAAATCCATGACACTTTTGAACTTTGCAATACTGATAATGCAGATGGCTGCAATATGGAAATTAACACTCTTTACTGAGTGCTGCCAGCTTCCTCACCTTGATCTGATCTTAGATTTCTGAGACACTTCCATGGAGATTTTGATGAATTACATTGCATTCACTTGATTCAACAAATGTTTTGGTCAAAATATTGCACAACAATTTTTAATCAAGTAACACCAGTGAGTTTTAAATGTATACATTGAATATAAGACACATGGCTGCTGCAGACCAGTTGCATTATGGTATTTTGTCCATAGTACTTTATCCTCTCACAAGTAACACTTCACCCATGTAATGTAGAAGAAAACCTAAAGTTGAGAGATAGAAAAACACATTTTTTGCAAGAACGCATCTCTTTTGCTGATTAAGGGCATAAAATCAATTCCACCCATCTCCCAAAATGGTGGGAGTCTGCAATGATTCAAAAGAGAACATGCTCAACCATAAATGGTTTATCCCTTCTGCCTGTTTTCAGGCATCCACAGCTCTAATCTGTTTCTCCATCTCATGGTGAAAAGAGAAACAACCCAAATTGAGACCGAGACTAACCCTCACTGAATCAGATCCATGTACCATCACTGCTCATAGAAAATAGAAAAGGTATGAAATGAGACAAAAAAGCCACACAACACTCACAAATACTACAGCAGTACTATAGCAGTGACTGAATCGAACCAACTCAACTCAGTGGCTATCGAAGCCAGCGAGGTCTACATGTTGGTTAGAGGACTGTAGCTACACAGCTGGCCTGGGGTGTGGGAGTCTTGGTTAGCATGGGTTTTTATGCTAGTGGAGCCAGGGGCCAACGGGACATATCTGGAAGGGATACCATAGACAGAGCTCACAGGATTAAGTCCACAGCTCAGTGGGAGTGGGTCACAGCAGGGCTGGACGGTGCCCAGACATTGGCAGAAGTGACAGCACCCTGGTGGAACATCTGTGAGGAAGAATCTGTGAGGCCAAGCACAATCACATCCTCCTGTGGCCATCCTGATAGCACTTTGTGGCTAATGAGAGAGTGGATTTGTTAATCTTTTACTAAGTGCTGCATGTCATCCAGTTTTTAATCTTAAGTCTTAATGGAATTACTATGCAGTAAACATGCCATGTATGTAGTAATGAGAGCGAGATATTGAACTCCAGACCCACTGACAAGTTCTTTGAGTTTAAGGGAATGATGTGAGGTAGGGAGAGACAGAGAGAGATGGGGGAGAGAAAGAGATGCTAAAAAGTGTGTCAATCTGCTCCCCCAGCTTTGTGTGCGAAGAGGAAACTCTGTGTCAGTACTAATAAAGCTGGGGTGTCTTTTTAGCAGCCAGCTGCTGGCAAAGCCTCTCCATGACATCTGTTGCTGTGTTTCATCAGAGAAGGAGCGAGATTGCCGGCTTCATCTTCTGCCGTACTCTTTCCTCTCATCTCTGTCACATATAAAACAATCAAAGTAAATCCCAGCCAACAATGCATGATGGCACGCAACAGACGTGCGCAAGGTTTTGCCTTTAGGCCGAGTTCAGACAAGGCTTTCTGCCCTCCTCAGCAGGGCTTTGTCCTCAGGTCAACCCTGCAGCTTCAACTTGGATGTATGTCCAGTAGTGATATGGTGGCTTGGGACAGCACTAATACTGCCTACCTCACACACACACACACACTCACGCTAAGCCCTTTGGGAAATTAGTGACAAGCTCACCAGCGTGGGGATTTCCTCCGAGGCCATATGCCACTTTACGGAGATGCGGCGGGCGGATTGACGTCACACACCCTATCCCCTCTCTCCCTCCCAATGCCCGGCGCTCTCGGACAGACGAGATAAGAGAGAGAGAAGAGGAGCCGGAAACTGGCCTCCGCCCACGTAGCCAGTGCAGCACACATAACTGAGGCCCTGTTGTACAGGGGGCTTAGCAGAGAGCAAGAACATCGAAGCAGAGATTACAGTTGTATTAGCTACGCACATGTTGCCATGGCCAGGTGTCTTGGGCCATAAACAAGAGGTGAGCTGGACATTTCTTAGACGAGTGGTCCACAGGTACGCACTCATGGACATTTTGGTCATGCCTGTCCAATAACAATAAAATAACATTTTTAAAAATAAAATGATAATAAAATAAACTAATATTTTATAATATTAAAAATAAACAAAAAAAATTCAAATTAAAAATTAACTTCAAAATTACAAATAAGATAATATTTTAATCATCAACAAATAATGGTACCCAAGCTTTTTTCATAGCTAAAGAAAATTGTAACACTTTATTTGACCCCTGCTGACATGACCATGTCATAAGCTGCCATAGTAGATTTTTTTCATTGATATAACAGTGTCAAATTACCTTTACCGGTAACTGTCATGGTAGACGCCATAATATTTGATGTCTAGCCATATCATGACATCAAACACTACAACATATGTGTTAACAATTACTGGTCATGGTTATATAACACCGTTACATGACTGGATATAGTCTATTATGACATCTCATGATAGTGTCTAATATCTGTCATGGATATGTCACTGTGGTGTAGAAAGATTCAAGTAAAGTGATACCTAGAAACTAAGTGCTAAGCTGGCCTTATTCGTTAGGCTGTAGTAGCAACAATAGTTATTAACAATAATAAGTATAAACATTTCATTAAGCCAAGCACAATCAAAAAGTTTTATCTTGCACTGTAATTTTTCTCCAATTGTTTTATTAATACCCAGCCTTGTAAACATTTGCAATGCAGGTTCATAAAAATGCTATGTTCAAAGATTAGCCTATGTCTGAAGATAATAAGTACAACCCCATTTCTAGAAAAGTTGGGACGCTGTGCAAAATGTAAATAAAAACAAAATGCAATGATGTGCAAATCATTTAAACCCTATATTTCATCGAAAATAGTACAATAGTAGACAACATATCAAATGCTGACACTGAGAAATTTTTATTGTTTTAAGAAAAATATCTGCCCATTTTGAATTTCATGCCAACAACACATTCCAAAAACGTTGGGACGGGGCAACAAAAGGCTGGTAAAGTTCAAGTAAGAACGGGAAAACATTTCACTTTCAAAACTACAGCAATTGGTCTCTACAGTTCCCAAACGCTTACAGAGTACTGTTAAAAGAAGAGGTGATGCAGCACGGTGGCAACATGCCTCTGTCCCAACTTTTTTGTAACATGTTAATGGCATCAAATCCAAAATGGGCATATACTTTAAAAAAACAATATAATTTCTCACTTTCAACATTTGATATGTTGTCTTTGTAGTATTTTCCTTTAAAATATATTTTACATGATTTGCATTCTATTTTTATTTACATTCTGCACAGCGTCCCAACTTTTTGGAAATGGGGTTGTAAATATATGTGGCAGACCACTATTAACAATTAACAGATATAGGTTATTAATGACAATATCAGCTAAGGTCAAAAGCTCTTGCCTGCCATAGCAAAGGATGAAAAGGGAAGGTTGTCTTTTAAGAGGGGGCCGAGTATGGACCGCCGCCTTTTGGGCGTCGGGTACGACAGGAGATAAGCTGGTGTGAGCCCCATCTGACACACATTTTAAATCCCTCTCATTCTCACACACTCTCCCATCCCAACATAGTGCTGCAAGCTGAGCAGACCTAACGCTGCTTTTATGTAAACACACACATACACACGCACAGA